AAGAAAAGAGAAATAAGAAGCTTTGAGCTAATTGTTAAGCTTAAGTTACATGTAACCCAAAATATATGATAATCAGATGCTGTATCAAGTTTATATAGTCATGTCTGAGTCCATTATTGTGTTGAGTGAGCAAAGTGCTACAAGGCCAAAGACAAGTCAGCTCAAGTGTAAATGATATAGAATAAACTTTAGCTCAAAGCTGAGTATGTACAGTAAGAGCTATGCTATTTATATACTATTCTGAAGACTGAATAAAAATATACATACTAATTGTAGGTTTCTGTATTATAGTACTCATTATCCTGGAGTATTATTACTACTACAAAAGGATATTGTCCATCATTGAGAGGCTCATTGCTATCAGAGGACAATAGGCTGACTCTGCTTGTTATAGTGATGTAAGCTTATTCCACAGTTCTAAGCACTGGTTTAGATACTCTAACTAAGCAAGAATAGAGATTAAGGAAAGAAAAGAGAAGAAAAATCATAATAAAGAGTTTAAAAGCAGTTGATGACTTCAAGACAATAGAGTTGATATCTTCATTCTCCCTCTTGACTATGAATGATTCTGGAGTCAGGTCATTCTTGTTGAAGTATATATCATGTTTAATGCTGACTTTTTGCTTTTTGAGCCAGTAGACTCTCTAGCCTTTGGCTTTAGTATCAATACCCATGAAATGAGTTTCAATGGCATGCTCTTCAAGCTTCTCTGGTGTCTTTACTCAGATCCAGCATTGACATTCCTATAGGCAAAGATCTGAGATGTTAGGCTTCCTGCCAGTTGCCATCTCAAATGGGGTTTTCTCTGATGGTATCACTTTTGTTGAGGTGCAGTTGTAGATCTATTCAGCATGCCATTGAGCTTCAGCCCAGAGGTATTTTGGTAACCCTGAACTGATTAAGAAAGCTCTAGTCATGTCTATCAGATAGCCATCTGAATGCTTGGCAATCTCATTCAACTGTAGAGAATTATATACATTAAAGTGTCAAACAGTCTCTTTTGATTTAAGGTGCTGACCAAACTCTTTGCTAGTGAATTCTCCTTCTTAATCCATACCAAAGATCTTGATGACCTCTATATCTTACTGGACTTTGATCTATATCTCATAATATTTATATGACCCAAAGATATCCAATTTCTTTGATAAGTATTCAGATTTCAATTCATGAGTGTGTAGGTCATGAAACATGCAGATATAGCAGGCTCTCCCCAGTGATGCTACAGACATTGAGTTTATCAGATCTCTGACAATCTTGTCACTGCTATTTTTGACATATTCATGTTGGTCTTGTTTTGAGAATGACTTGTGCTTTGCTTTGGTCTTTACACAGGTTTTGCAAAATTCCAGTTTGGAGTTAGGATCAAGCTCAATTTCTTCAATATGGTCATCAACATACATGCAGTGAAGAGTAGTGTGACTTTGGTGAGCACAAATGTTGTGTAGCTCAGTGATGTTCACCTTGAGCTTATCTGCCATCATAGCAACATCTAGTTTGGCTGCCATAGCTTGCTGTGTATTTGGGGTTGAGATTATATATAAGCCACCAGCTTTGAAGATTTTTGCAATAATCTTAGTATCTGGCCATGATGTGCAGATGTACATGATATGCACTTTGAAAACTTGTGATGGTGGATTTCTGTCTCTTTCTCATAGGAAGTAGTAGTCAAAGATTCTCTTTTTCTATCATATAGAAAACTTGGCCATTTTCAGCCTTGATAGGCTTTGGTTCAATTTTGGTATAGTTTTTAAATCTCTGACATTCAGGTGAGTATGTTTTTGATGCTTCACAATCTGCTAATGCTATAACATTCTTCTCTTTTGTCACATAAGCATCACCCTCAGCTTGATAGTCAGATGTGTATATCAATGCCACATTCTTATGATCATTATCATCAGCTATAACAGTGATAACATGTTCATCACTTTCATCAATAGCTGCAGATGCTGACTCTTTTGCCTTTTTCTTTCCCTTAGCTTTGTTCTTTTTTGAAGCTGGGCCTTGTCCTGCCTTTTCACCATCTTCACACCAACAATCTACAATAAGATGGCCAGTTTTACTATATGCTGGATTTATGCATTTGATATGAGATCAATCAGGTCTTTTTTTCAACTTTCCTTCAGAGCTCTGGCCCTTTCTTTTGCTCTGTTGTTGAGCAGATATTGCTATGTTTTCAGCAGTGGCCTTTAATGCTATCTCCTCATCTCATTCTTCATGCAGAGCTGCAACTAGAATGTCTGATGTCAGAGTCTTTCCAGTAAACTTGCTGGCAGCAGAGAGGGTGTAACAGATGTGATCATAGAAGGGTGGAAGTATTTTTGGATCATCAAAGTGTACTAATTGTCTTCAATCTTCAGACCCATCCCTTTGATTTGTTCATGGAGGATTTTCATTTTGGCAAGGTGTTCATGCATATTGCCTTCATCAGGGCATGCCATGTTTCTAAGCTGAGTAAGGAGGTGCTCTTGCACAAGATTGCCCTTGCCAGTTATGATGGCAATAAGCTTCTTCCAGACAAGAGCAGCTGTTGCCTCACCTTTGATCTCATTGAAGGTAGAGTTAGAAATGGCTTCATAAATGATATTATGCATCTTTGCCTCTTTCTGCTCATATTCCTCCAGTTTATCCTCCAGCTTATCTAGATCATCATCTGAGAGTGGATGTGAAAATGCAGTATTAGAGAACCAGTAGAAGTTTCTCTTGTGCTCAACAGGGTGCAGGGGTATGTGAGCTGTTCCTTGGAGGTGCCAGCCAAGGCCCTTGTCCAGGAACTTGGTGGTGAGCTTCTCTGAAAATGCTACCCAGTTTGATCCATCATCTGCAAGCTTTGTTGTGCTAACTAGCTTTATTCAAGTTGTCATGGACATGCTGGTAGCAGGGCTCATAACCTGTTGAAGTTAATGATATAGAAGTGTGGATGTGGTGAATGAAAAAAGGGTTCAGAAGAGAACAGATGCTAGAATAGAATATCATAACATTAATCTCAGTGTTGTGGTTGAAAGCTATATTATTTACCTGGAATAGAATGTCATAACATTACTATATAGATGATAAGTAAATACTGTCAAAGATAGATAGGTATAGAAGGTACTCACATCTCAGCATTGTCATTGAAAGCTGAGATGTGCAGAACAGTGTGACATGCCAAAAAAAGGAAGGAATATCAAATAGGTAAGTGAATGTGTTCATATCATACTATTCCTATGTCTAACACATTTTACTGAACTTATTTTTACTATTGCAAAATTTTCAGGTCCTATTTTTCTGCTGAGAAAATGTACCGGTCCCAGCAGTGAATATGCAAATAAGCTTATACATGATATTATACATTGGGTGAGTTTCTGGGTATTCCAGACCTCCATTTCTCCAAGTACTCTCTGTGATCCGCCTCCTCCTTGGCATGTCTTTCTCGTGCTGCCTTCGAGTTACCCCAGAAGAATAGCATGACATCGTGCTCATCCCAGATGTTCTGAGCCTCTGATTCTACAGCCGTCACTGCACTAGTCCCCCCTTCATTCCTTCCTCCTGCCTGTTCCATTCCAGCTCCAGCTCCCTCTCGCTCTTCCTCCCGCTTCCGCTTCTCACGCTTCTTGATACTGGCGCCATGATCATGTTTTGCCTTCGGTGGTCCCATTGGCGCCGGGGTAGGTACCGGTGGGCGGTTAGGCTGGTGATGTTGGATTAGAACAGCAACGTTCTTGCCCCAATTCTTCACGGCGGCGGCTCCATATCTATAATGTAACAAGAGTCGGGCAGGCTTTTGTAGTCGATGTTTCGCAAAAGTGGCATCATTATTGTTAGGTATTCGCGCCCGAGTAGATTCGGTGCTTGGAGTAGTGATCCACTGAAGTGTATATCGAGAATCAGGCGGGTAACTGACGCCGTATTCTAGCGGACGCTGGTAGCGATTAGGGATGTCGGTGGTTTCCAGGATAGGATTTGGAGTCTGATGTAAATGAGAAAAGATAAGAAGGAAAAAGAAGAGCAGACGAACGACAAGCACGGCAACCTTCTGTTGGTCAAAGAAATCGAAATGAATATCAGAAGTGGCATAAAAACCGTTGCGAATATCATTGATGCTGCGCAATGAACTCAGATTCTCTTCGGTTGGCCGGTTCTCGATGATGAGTTGTATCCACTGTAGGAAAAACCAAATTAAGTGGCATGTTAGGGAACAATACGTGGACATGCCTCGTCGCCTCGTGCATAAGGAATAATATGCATCCCAACCCCTTCATCAATGCCGGTCCACACACATCGACCATCGCGCTTTAATACCTTCTCACGAAAGTTTTCGCGGGTAGCTGTAGTTGCGGAATGCGTATGGGTTCGCTGTTTGATGACCTCGGGGTCAACGGCGTGAGAGAGGATGTTTCCACCAGGCACATCGTATCGGTAGACTTCCCTATCCACCAGCTCGCCGTCCAATTCTACCGCATCCCCAGTCTCATCAACCAGGGTCCCACTAACGCCTAGGACACACCAGCCAACATACCGAAGATATTTTAACGGGTATAGACAGACCGTCGTTGCGATTTGCATAGGAACTTCCAAGTAAAACGAATCTTGAGGTAATAAAAGGAGCTGAACAAAGCCTGGCGGTGGTGCGGGACGAGGCATGTGGACGATGGTGGTGGTCGGAACCAAGTCGCACCACGGATCACGATTCACTAAGAGCTATTAATACTTTCTCACACACCCCTTTCCATGTCATGATGGACCAGCACTTGGTATCAGATCCTTTTTTTGTTCAACTGAACCCTCGTACCTCAGGTGACGAAAACGTACAGTTTATGTGCAGGCTGGCAGGTATCATATCTCACAACACGCTAGTTCATGGGCGATACCAGCCGAGAACAATGCAACCATAGTCTCAAAAAGGTCACCGCTGCTTTATTGTTCCTGTTCCGATCCGCGCCCCTCTTGATTCCTTTGTTCTGCTTGCTATAATATATAAAACAGACAGGGCACCATCCCATCCCTCCACCAACGCACTAACAATGTCTATATCCAAGTTAGATTTCGCCAAACTAACCGACCAGGCCCTTATTTCAGACTATGTCGCCGTGAGTCTCGTCTCTTCGACCTCGTTCAATTTCTCTAAGCTCTATCTGCCAGGCTCATAATATACCTCACGCCGTCGCATTCCATAGGGGCACCTTTGATTCGTATAATCTGCCTGCAGTCACGAAGCATCTCTTCCCCGCAACATCCAATCCTGTCCCGATTCCATTACTTGCCAATCATGTGTGGGTAGCACAACTCGACGGAAACTGGAGACTTGAGCGGTACTCTACCGCCGAGACATTTCCTGACCCTCCTGAAGGTGATGTCGAAGACGACGATTCGGTTCCTATGTTGAACTATTACCCGCCTGACGGCCTCCCAGTCAACTCTAGCGTTGACCTGTTCGACGAGGCCCGCAAGCTAGAAGATGGGAGGTCAGGGCGGAGCTGAGGGCGGCGGTCTGAAAGGCCGCCCTCCTATACACGCAGGCCAGCCTAGCTCTGGAAGAGGAGAGAGCGAAGACTGCGTCGCTCATGACGCTTGTTACAAGCATCTGTGGGAAGGCGTACGCGGAGAAGATCATGCGGATAGTGAATTTGGTAGAAACCAATGATGATGCTAGCGATCAAGAGAGCGGCGGCGAGTCTGGTGGCAACATCAAAAGTAGCAATAATTTCACCCAGAAAAGGCTCCAGCCTTCTCCGTAAGTACTTGTTCGCTATGTATATCTCTGCTTCAATTCATGATTTGCATCAAGGTGGCGAGCTGGGATAAATAAGGCGCAGTTCGGTGATCTGGATTGGGCGTGTGTTTCTTCTCCATACCCTCATATAACCTTGTCTAACGGACAACAGGACAAAGATGAAGGGAGCCTCAGACACTTTGATAGAGGACGTGTACGCCGTACTGATGCCTCCTCCAAAGTATGTCATTCGCTCTGTCGTGTCCACGGTGATAAATGTCAACAGTTTCCTTCCCCGTAGGGCCACCAATGATGCAGGACAATCTGACACGTCAGAGGCTTCGACTTCGACAGCAAAATCTCCTCGAAAGCGCCCCCGCTCCTCTGAAGACGAAGACGCGTGTACCAGTCCCAAGCGGGTCAAAACTGGTGTCGAAGAAGGAGGTCGTGCAGAAGCACAAGTCGAGTCTTCCCGCGCCGCCGCATTGCAAAGACAGAACCGTCCCCGACTCAGAGATGACTCCCTTGATGACATACACATAAATACCAGTCTCAAAGGCCAAATTATTGAAGAACGCTTTCCCGTTGATTTGGACGAAGAACCGTTGAATGCTGCTACGTCCGACAGTCCTCGCTTTCCAGGCGACCTTCTTATTCCAATTTTCTTCCCCAAGGCCCTCAAGAATCTCGAAGACCTAGAAATGTATCCCCCCTGCGAAGCCCACAATCCCGTAGCTCCTCCCCCACGGGCATCAGACAGTTCCTATTCCAATCCCGGTCATGCGCGCCACGTATTAAGACATGTCTAAATGGTTTCCACCTCGTACCTATGTGTTGACTTGGTGGTCTAGTGGTATGATTCCTTGTTAGGATGGAACATTGTTACGGTATTGAGGGGGTCCTGGGTTCAATTCCCGGTCATGATGGTGACGTCTAGGTTTCATTTTTCTCTTTTAACACTCAACGAGTATAGTGGGCTTTGGACTAGGGTTGCTCAGGAAACCTCAAGGGGGTCAGTTACTGTTTCTCACCCACCCCTCCCCAAGGGGAGTGGTTTCATATGGTAATTCACTGTTACTTACCTATCATGTGCAGAATCACACAAAAGGTGTACAGAATTGCAGCTTTTTTGTATTCGTGTTCACCGTCGATAGCGATATGCATTGTGTAGCTCATCATCATAGCGTGCTCCACATACTTCTTTCTCTCCTCCTCTGCCACTAATAGTAGGGCGCATTCGCTCCTCTACTGTTTTACACGTGTCTGTCTAGAGTGAGTAAATCGGACCAGCATCCGAGCAAGCGACGTACCGTGAGGCCGGTAAGGAAAGATCTAGTCGAACTCTGTTGGCACGGTCATGGCCAACTTGCAATGGGTTCGAAGGGTTTATATTGGAGGGACGTGCATTATTCGTTTGCTGGGTGAATGCAGAAATTTCGATCGGGATGGTACCAGTGGCTGGTTTGGTCGCAGTCGGCTCTGATGGGTTCGTGAACATGGAGCCATAAGCGTTGAGCGCTGTTTGTAAAAGTAGGTCCAACAGCAGCCTGACTTGTGGTGAAGACAAGTGCAGAGGTAGAAGTCTCTGAAGGAACAAAGGGCTGAGCTATAGCAGAAGCCACATTTATAGGGATATAAGTTGGTTTTGTGGGTGCGTGTCTGGGATCGGAGGGTGATGGAGGCGTTGGTTGCGTTAACGATAGAACAATGGCTGCGGTCGTTGACGGGATATCAGCCTGTGTAGGTAGCGCTTCCTGGGCGTCTGACTCTGGCATTATTGTACGACTTTGGGCCAGCGGGAACACAAAGATGCATATAGTTAATATAGCGAGGACGTCCGAACATCTTGGTCATGTTTCAACTAAGACGGGCGTTCCGTTAACCTTCAACGCCAACAGAAAGGTGTGAGATTGACTGTTGCGTCCGTGAGCTTCGATTCTTCGGAAGAGATAATCAACAGGAATGAAGTCAAGAAAACTTGGTCCGTGATGCTACAGCTGGAAGGATATGGATGTCATTTAGAAGACCTGGGGCTTCCGCGCCTAACAAGGATCCTTCGTATCAGACCATTAATGACATCTAGTGCAGCGTGTATCTATCTACTTGTCATCGGTGAAAGAATCCATAACAAAGACCCACCTGGTCAGGGACAGAAGGCACTCAGGGTGAGTACTAATATTGGACTGCATTTCGCGCGGCGTCCAGAAGCGCAGATATAATCTTCAGAAGCCCGCGGTCCGAAAATTTCATGAAACTTTTTACCTAATGCTTTAGATCAGACGGACAATGATTGTGGATATATGCTACAGTGGGTAACCTATATGCTGGTCAGATTCCATTTAAAGAGAGACGGGACTGCCCACCTGATTATACAAATGATAAAAATTTACAGACGCTATCATAACGGTCCTCTTCGCCCATCAGCGCCTTGAACGTACATGCCAACATGAACTCTGGCCAGACGACTCGCAGTGTCTTCGTTTACTGGTTTAGTTTTCATATCGGTACGCTTAGAATGAGGTTCAGATAGAGTTCAGGTCCGAAGCAAGGCACCTAATCACCATAGCGAAGCATACTCCACGGTATATCCAGTTGAAGACTTCCTTGTACTCCGCATGTGTCTTGGGAAGAAGGTGCGCCGGAATGCTTTTACCGACAATTCCTTTGACAGTCTGTCGAATGTTAGAGACGCAAAGAAAAGAAAAGTTCTAGAAACACGAACATCTTTATTCTTCCTCTCTATCGTTGGCGCAACCTCCAATTCGACCTGAGATGGTTTCCTCCTCAAAGTCTTCACTGGTACTGCAGGGACCTTGAACTGCGGCTTTAGAGGGAAAAGATCTCTACCCTTAGCATGCAAGAGTATCGGTGGCTTGCGAGGAGTGGGGTCGTCGGGCCGAGGTAATAGTACTGGTGGTGGTGTTATCCGTGCGGCTAGTAGCTGCAATGCATCCTTCTCTACGGAAGACGCGTAAATAATGATGTTCGTCGCGTCCGTATCCCCAAGTGCAACCTGAACACCTATCGAATAGGTTTGCTCTGCCCGGAGGCAAAAAATGTTCTGGAAGTAAACTGTGGAAAGGACAGCCTGAGGGTGTATATCAAGCACGATCCTCGGAGCTGATTTGGTGTCGTAGTAGACATCGGCGAGGTTGATGACGGCGACGAAGCGTATTGCAATGCCACGAAGTGATTCCAAGGCCAAGGCGAGGGGATTTTGCAGTAGGGTCGTCTGTGCCGTGAGCATGGCAGAGAAGGCAATGCCATCGAGGGTTATATGTGAGTCGGGGAGCGTCAGGCTGCCTCTGTACACCAGTCTGCTCGACGTTCGAGTGGGGGAGCTCATCGTCGAGGATGACGTCGGAGGCCTTCCATTTGTGGTCGTGTTCGATCATGTGCCTCCCTCAGTTCTTCTGACCACCACCACCACCATCACCATCATGAAGCTACCACTCTTCGTTATACCACTCTTTTCTGCCTCCTATTACCCGCCGGAGACGACACATAGTTCACCACGACCATTGGTTCTTTGGCACGGCCTAGGTTTGACATTTATTAGCCTCATGCCTTCCCAAACATATCTGACACCAGCGCTCAGGCGATTCATACTCGTCTCCCGGGATGGTGCAATTTGCATCTACGATTCAAGATATCTACCCAGGAATATTCATACACTCAATCTACATCGACGAACTTGAGGACAACGACCGCAAGGCCGGCTTTGTGCGCAGCTAATCCTTTTATCTTCCTTCGCGTCGTTAATCGGACTTGGTAGCTAGTACGGCAACGTGAATGCTCAAATTGAGCTTGTCTCCAACCAATTGCGTGATATTCCCGAGTTGGCAGGCGGATTTGATGCGATTGGCTTTTCTCAAGGCGGGCAGTTCCTGCGGGCATATGTGGAGCAGTACAACGACCCACCGGTCAACAACCTCATAACGTTTGGCTCACAGCACATGGGAATATCAGATATTCCTATATGCAGCGCTTGGGATCTTCTATGTCAAGTTGCCAGGCGTGCTACGAAAAGCGCAGTCTACAGCTCATGGGCTCAGGAAAATCTCGTCCAGGTATGGTTGCATCAGTCTACCCTCTTTTCTAAGCTTATCTAGCGTAGGCCCAATATTTCCGAGATCCCAATAATCTCCAGACGTACCTCTCTGCCAATCATTTCCTGACTTCCATTAACAACGAACTCCCACCGGACGTTCAGCCACGGAACCAGACCTACGCTCATAACTTAGCCTCCCTAAATTCACTCGTTCTTGTCATGTTCCTCCAGGACAAGACCGTCGTCCCGAAAGAAAGTTCTTGGTTTGCTAGCGAAGCACCTCCGGATGGCATGGGCCCGGAACAAGACGTCTTATCGTTTTCCAGAGGCAAGAACATCATTCCCATGAAGTTACAGCCTCTCTATCAAGAAGACTGGATAGGGCTGAGAACTCTTGATGAACAAGGCGCTGTGGTATTAGCCACCTGCGGTGGCGAGCACATGCAAGTGGACCGAGCTTGCTGGGAACCTTTGGTGAAGGAGTTTGTGGGAGAATTGATTGACTGATTCTTTTTTTTCATATCTTGCCCAGTGTATTATTTGTCGGTTTACCGTACTGTATCCTCGATGCATTATAACAATACATCATTTTCATCATCATGTATTATGCACCGATTCCTCGACGTTCACGCGGAGGATCGACACAAGTAAAGATACATAAAAACCATGCACATGTCGCTGTACATTTACAGTGGACAGGTCCGATAATAATGACGAGAGTAAGAGACAAATAGACCCAGAGATATAGGTCCAACCAGTAAGTAGAAAATATGTACAATATTAAATAAATCCGTCATCGTCATCGTGCCGTCGTCGTATAACTTGGCGGAGGCGGTGACTGCACCCGGCTGAATCCACCAGGGACGACACTGGATACTTCCGACATTTCCCTCCTAACCGGAGTATGATATGATACCCCTCCCACATCGTAAGGCGAAGGGAGACGAGGAGATGCAGGTAAACGCTCCTCCTGTGGCGGTATCTGGGGAGATGATTGGTGTTGCCGGGGCGTATTGGGCGGCGACGTCGATATCCCGGGAGGTCCGTACCGCCCAGTTTCCCAACTCACATCGTCAACACTCGGCCTCGAGATATTATGTGACAGGATGTGCGTGTGGGACGAATGACCAGAAGAGGAATTATCATCCAGATATTCCGCAGATTTGGAATAGCCGTAGTTGTTGGTTGGCTTGTACTCATTCGGAGCTTGGGGCGCGGGTGTGTAAATGACACTGATGGACCCAGCATCATTGTGAGACCCGTGTTGGTACGATTGGGAGAATGGGTATAGGTCGCCGCGTTCGGCTTGTCCATGAACTCTTGGAGTCAACGGGATATTGACATCGGAGGTGGAGACGTCAAAGACATCCGACCGGTTGTAGGGAAGGTCGGCTCGTGCAAGTTTTGCTTGTCTGATCGTTCTCAGGTAAGTGAAAATTGGGAGTATCAGCATGCGTAACCCACCTGGCTTTCCTTCGTGCATAAATGACTGCAGGTTTCACCTTGTCCATCTCGCGAAAAATATACCACATGGCGGCAATGGTAATTAGGAACGTGACGGCCACGACGGCATCAGATATTACCCGGGACTTGGTATCACTCCCGCCTATTCGTTATTAAACACAGCAACGGAGATGAACAACTTTAAAGTACCTGTCTCCGATTGTTCCAGAATAACGCCCAGGTATACAGTGACAAATTGTTTAGGCAACGACAAGAATGCCGCAATACAAAAGACGACGATTCCCATTCCACATGTGGAAAAGACAGCAGTTGTGACTAAAGCGAGGGTGTTAGCAAAGTGCAGCAGTGTGTACGAGGCGGAACTTGCAATGGCCTGGAATCAAACTGAGACGTGCTATCAAAGCTATCTTGAAACCGCCATCTCGAACGACCTTGGCCAGACAGGCATATGTAATCTTTGAACGTTCAAGTTTTTCACCACGAGCACGGCAGCAGTACTTGAAGGCACTGAGACGAGGGTGAGTGGCAGTCGTCGATAGAGGAAAGAAAGCCCACATACTAGAAATTGCCAATTTCACCAAGAAATGTACCTGCTGCGACGATAGCAAATCCAATCCATAGACCCCAGACGAGACCGCAGAGTACGGCAACGATTTCATGGCCGAAAAGCTAGGTAGGTAGATGAGTGGCGAGCAAAACAATAACACAAGGCAAATTACAGGAGGAAATGAAATGACGAATAGTATTCCAATAGGCACGAGCCACCCAAACTTTAGACTGAAAGGATATGTCAAAACGTGAAGACACAGCGCAGGAACAAGAAACACGCACTCATGTAACCAGCGTGAAACAGGTGTGAGCCAATCAACAATTTGCTGGTGGTATATCGTCATGAGAGCAGTCAGGATGAGGATCATGCCCAGCGCGACATAATACCCTAAACGCAAAGTAAGAAATGAACCTTTGAAGGAAGAAAGCAACGCACAGAGCCATTCTCTTCGAAACCAAAACTGCCACTTTCCAATGACCTCCCAACTAAGGACGCCAGTCTTTAGTTCCTTTGCTTCGCTGGGCGTGGGGCTCGGCGTTCGTGTGATGTCGCGCGGCACTCTGTTGTCATTATTGGGGATATCGCCATTCGCGAAAGTGATGGATGAATTGGCTGAGGCGTATGGTGCCAGTGGAGGAGCTGGCGGGTAAGGGTGTGGACTAGGAACAGGACTTTTATGCCAACGTTCCTCCTCAGGGTATCGGTGCCGTGGGTGCTCGTCGTACTGCGCAGCGCTATTAGGTGGGTCCATGTGTATGTTTATGTGATTTCCTGTCAAGGATGCTGGTCGCTGTTCGTCCGAGAAGACTTTTATGAAGGTAAGAGCTCGATTTGTGGGTGAATGTCGAGATATAAGGGAAGGGAGAGTGTCACCAGTGACTGTAAGAGGCAAGAAATAATTGCAGTGCAACTCTGCGTTGCTGTCCTTTCGACCATCACTACCGGCCCCATTCGTCATTGTGTATACCGCACGCGCTCTTATTCTAGTCTCCATTCAGAGCTATGGGCAGTGTCTTGAAGCTTGATCCATCGGACCGTCGGATTTGACTTGCACAGGATTCTCGGCGCTGGGGCCACAGGGGTGAACATCCGAACACCCATCCTGCTTGTCGCCTTTGCCTGTCTTTTTTGCCTTACATCTAGTTAGGAATGAGGCATGGTATTCAAATGATGTTGAATCGTCGCAGCGCCTCCAACCCGTCGCTTGACCGCTCCAGTGTGTCACACCGTTTCGTCTATTACCACACTGACCCTGGACACACAGAGCTAAAATAAACAAAGGCGGGAGGCACTGCCGCCTCTAGTTCAGTAATCATCCTTGTGTCCTCGAGTCTGCTCCGATCATCATGGGCCTCGTTGTCCAAGTCTTTCTAGATCCTTGACCGCCGGCTCGTAAACGCTCACCCATGGCTGCCGCTACTCAAGTCTTCCCCCTGTCGCAAACTCGTCACAGAACCCGTCTGAAAATTATGACAAAAGCAAAATGTCCTCCTTGCAGATACTGATAACCTAATAGACCTTCTTTTCAATACGAGTGCTTGTATAGCCGAGGCCATTTCGACTTGAATGAGATTATGTATTGAAGGAGCGAACCAGACCTATCGCATGTAATTGACAAGGATTCGAATTCCACTGCAGATAAATAAATACTCTCCAAGCGAACAAACAAGTTTCTACTTCAATGCTGGGCTCTCGACATATTTGCTTCCAAGGCTCTTGGATCGTATCGCTCTCCAGGAATCTCAGTTTCTTCAGCAATCTGGCGTATCTCCTCGATTTCTTCCGACGTCAGCTTGGGCGACGCAGCCTTAAGATTCTCCTCCTCCAGGTACTATCGCCGTTGACTCATAATAAGCGGGTATCCTAATCAGTTAAAACGTAACTGACCTTGATCTTCTTCGTCCCCAGAATCACAAAGAAATCCTCGCCCTGTGCCAGAATCCACGCGAGCACTGCCTGTCCCGGTGTGGCATCGTATCTCTTCGCCACTTCCCCAATCCTATCCACAACGGAAAATTCTTTGCCTTGAACTTGGGGATCGTCAAGCGGTAGTCACCTGGCTCCAGGTAATCTCGAGAGCGAACTTGGCCGGTCAGACACCCACCGCCGTGGAGAGTAGGCAACGATCTTGACCCCAAGCTCACGAGCGGTTTGGATGAGCTCGAGGGGCAGCTTCTCGACGTCAAGGATGAAGGGTGAATATTCGATTTGAAGGGCCGCGATGGGATGGATCGCGTTCGCACGACGGAGACCAGATGTGGTGCAGTTCTGAGAGACCAAAGTATTTGACTTTTCCTTCCCTGTGCAGATCATGATGATTAATGCGCACTCTTCGACAGACACCCTTACTTGACAAGTTCGGCCATAGCCTCTACCGTCTTCTCGATAGGAGTGTCAGGGTCGACTCTGTTTTTCACTGCTAAGTCTTTATCAGATTAATCATTAGCCAATCAAACTGCCCACTGGTGTTGATAGTACAAGTCGATGTGATCCACACCGAGCCTCTTGAGCGACGCATAGCACCGCCCCTTGACATACTCAGGATCACCACGGGAGGTTCCCATAGGGATCCGCCAAGAAAATGGAATCGCGTCTTCCAGGATTACGTCCGAACCTGCATGTATCCATTCAGAACGAAGAATCTCGGGAGTCAATTAATTAGTACCACTTCCCGATGAGGTCTTCCGAACCGAAATAAATGTCAGGTTCCCCAGAATGTGCATCCCGCCGCGTAGGCAGCCTCAAAGATCTAGAAAAACAGGGTGAGGACTCCCAGATACCTGTCACAGCTTGACTACTTGCCTTGAAACGTTCCTCCTCTGATCCAACGGCATCGTAACAAAAGCTGGTCCCCATTGCCCCGAAGCCAATGACAGGTACCGAAGCGTCCCCGATCTTTCGAAGAAGTACACTCGACATCATGCTACTAGTTATATGCCAGGCACTCGCATTCGCTCCACTTTATATACGGGCAACGATTGCAACTGCCGAGGAGACACAGTATTATATGACGAAGCATCCTTATCGTGAAAGCATCGACTGTTTTCAAGGTCGAACTTCATCATGGAACAAATAGGACCGAAAGTCGCGGGAGGAGGGGAAGACATTTATTCCGGACTCGTTTACGTGCCAGGAGAGCAGGGTCCGATAGCGTCCGCGTTTCTGATTGGCCGGCCAAGTCGTGGAACGTTCCTTTGAGTCTTCACTCCTAGAAGAAACCAGAAGGTAAAATACAGAAACTCTTGTACTTGACCTAGGGCTCGGTGGTCGGAAAGTAGTAGTAGTATATGGACTCGGTCGCGAACTTCCATTGTCCTTCAGCGCTATCATAAAGCAACGAATACATTTTGATCCAAAGCTTATACATTCAATTCATACTTTCATTTACCGCTCTTTTATATCTGTTTAGCATCAGATCTTACTGACAAAAAACCGAAAGTACTCGTCGGTCAACATTACTTTAGCTGAATTTGATTGCATTTCATGACTCCCACAACACAAATTTGCCGCAAGAGCTCATCGACCTCATCGTCGATTTCCTCGAAGAAGATCCGCCTTCACTTCGAGCATGTGCATTAGCTGGTCATTGTTTTCTGCAATGATGACACATGTATCTGTTTTGCAAAATACAGTTTGCCGACGATGTTCTGCCTGGACGTTTCCTTCCCTCACTTCTATCATCCCATATTCCATTTCTGGTGCGAGAGTTACTCATCACCAACTTACGCCCTTTGTCGTCCAAGGCGGTCAGAATGCTTCGCCTTAAGTCACTCAAATTCAAGCACAAAGGAGATACCAATTCGTTACTCCAATACTTCCCGTCCTTACGTCATCTCTCTTTTTCTTTTGCGACTTTCCCAAGCCCCATGTATGAGAGCTGTATAGATATATTTCCTCTCACTCGCAGCCCCCAGTCTCCCTTCCGCCGCCTATACTACTCGAGACTCTTGAAATGCCAACTTATTTGTCCCAGTCTGCCGTCACCGGTTTGCTTCTCGATCCCCAATCACCCATCACGTTCAGCTATCTAAGATCCCTACGAATCAAATTTCTAAGCCCCACTGATCTCCCAATAGTCATAGCTTTGGTAGAGGCATCACGCGCCACGCTTGTAAACCTATTCCTTGGGCTAATGCTCTTAAGTACGAATAACCCTGGATCCTTTTCACTCGGCGTATTTACCTTTATCTAGATCCTATGCACCGGACGTTGCTACTCCCACTGTATCATCTCAGATGCTTACACATCCAGATATCTAATGATTCTCAACATGCACAGCTATTTGCATGGTGGATAAATGTTTTCCAGATGAGCGAGCAAGGTTGGCGTCTGGAAGATGTCACTATTAGACTGATGCTCAGGGGCAGCATGCATACGTTCCATGATACCCATCTATGGTCTTTGCTCGATGCTGCAATCACCCGATCGTGCATGAGGAAACTACGCACTGTCAAGATCGATATCTCTTTTCCGCCTGCCTTGGCACTCGCCACTGAAACTCAAGAGCTGCCCGGCCTCATAAGACTTGCATGTCCTTCCATGATAGCCAAGGCACTCCTGCATATGAAACCAAATGGTATGTAACAGTTTTATTCACATTCGCATTGTACTGAATACAAGATCGGTAGCATCAGGAACTTCTCCTGTGTATATTGGATAACTCGATTACTATGCTGGGAAATTGCGGTAGCCTCCCACAAATCGTGTTCGAGGTAGCTGCTCATTAAAGTTACTTCACTCGTGTCTAGAGGAATGATATCACTATGGCGACTAGCGCGTCGCATTTGTAACAGATACCACTGGTAGAGGTTTGCGCCGATTATGATTTAAGTGTTTTGGATACGTGACGTGCGCTGAGATAGTTACAGGACGACATCAATCACCGGATAGGCAAAGAGTAGAGAAACCGACGCCTGTTCACTGTCAAAGCCCAGTAAATCCAGGCTCTTGATCAAACCGCTCCATTCATATCATGGCAGTCGGATGATACCATCGTCGTGTGATCTTTTATTAAAATACTATTCATACCGAGGAACATACCTTTCTTTAAGGGCCGATGACTTGCGGTACCAAGAGGATCAGAGCACGACCACGACACCAGGCAACTGAAAAATTGTTGGAGGATATCCGTACGTTTCATCTTATCTTACTTTTTGATCACTCGCTCTATTTGCCTTATATATACTTACACCTCCTGTCGTTTCCCGATCACCTATATAGTCCAGCCGTTCCTATCTGTATGCCTCAGTCGCTTCACCCACGTTGTGCCCGACTGAGATACTCACATATATTCTTCTGTCAATAAGTTATGAGGCCCCGTTGCCTATAACTACTCAGTCAAGAAGAATACGCAACGGAATTTCGACTCAACTTACCACTTGAATTTATACCATACCACTACCCTCACCACTTTACACCACACCCCTAAACGATGTCGTCGATGTCGGGAGTCACTATCCTCCCTGACACGAGTAGCCATTTCAACGGGAAGAACTACGCCTCATGGAAACTCCAACTTACTGAGTTACTGAAGGGAAAAGGCCTATGGGGATACATTGCAGGAACTACTGTCTGTCCTGCCATCCCCGCCACCACTACCACAGCCACGGCTACTACCACACCCCTCCCACCAGACCCTACTCCCATATACTCATCCTCTCCCTCGTATGACGAGTGGGTCTTTCGTGATCAGCTCGCCCACTCGAACATCGTCCTCAACGTTCTCGACCCCATTGGTCTAGGGGTCAAGACTGACGGAACGGCAAAGGAATGCTGGGACTCCGTTGCTGCGGAACATGCAAAGAAAACAGATATGGCCCTTTCTGAGGCTGAGGCATTGCTGAATGCGGTGAAGTTTGACGGGAACAGTGACATCAATATTCACGTTGCCGACCTGCGCATGAAACGATGAGCTGTAAATGACCTCCGAACCACAACATTGAGTGATCAGGAGTTCAAGGGAATAATTATTCGCTCGATAATCCCGACTGATCACTGGATGCCTATCCTCCCAAGTTTATATGGCATGCCAACGTCCTCTGATGTGTTTTCCCATCTCTAAACCCATGCTGCCATGCTTCGTGCAGCGGGTAAAGGTCCTGCCAACTCCCAAGCACTTGCGGCTGGAGTTGGAACCTCTGTCATGGTACGTGGATGTCGCAATCCAGATTGCAAGGCCTGTGATAAGACTAGGCACACCACCGAGAATTGTTATTGGCCAGGAGGGGGAAAGGAGAGACAATTCCCTGCCAACTTCAGCCGACCTTGCCATGCAAACCAGGCAATCTCGAACACCATGGCCAATACTACGAGGCATTTTGTACTTGCTGTGTGTGCTACTACAGTGGAAGTCGATCGTGATGATGATGGCATTGTAATTGAGGATGGCAGCACTGGCGAGAGGATATACGAGTGGAATGATACCCACTCCTTCTGACACTGGGATGAAACAGAGAGCAGCACTATATTGATGTCAAAGGTTGAAGAAGAGACAGACCTCGAAATGCCTCCTCTCACTGACGTCGATGACTCTGATGATGAAGATGTTGCTGGAGACGATGAGATACCTTCTGTCAAGAGTATAGACACTAGCAAGGCCAACATTGAGAATGTAGGACACTTTACATGCAAGGCTGACCCTGCTACAACAGTCTTTGTCATGACTACGTTCGAAGGCCGTACCCCAGCCATCACTCTAACCTTCATGGATTCTGATGCAAGCGACTACTTCTTCAGGAATCATGATGACTTCACAGAGTACACACCAGTAGCTTTCCATACTGGCTCATCTGCAGTTGAGGGAAAGGGAATGCTCGAGATCCTGGGCCAGGGTACAGCAACAAAGGTCTTCAGACTGAATGGAAGAGATGTTAAGCTCACCTTCAAAAATGCCTTGCATTCACCTTCACTCGCCACAAATCTCATCTCCATAAGCACCTTAGACAAGGCTGGATTGTCAACTGTGTTCTCTGATGGCCGTGCAGTTGTCCAGAATAAGTCTGGTAAAGAGATCTTTGCTGGGTGAGGCTCGGATGGCATGTATGTGCTAGATGCTGCACTCAGCCCCCAAGCTATGGCATCTTGCTCATCTCCCACTTCACTGAGTACTTGGCACCATCGTTTTGTCCACATGAGCCCTGCAAAAATCAAGGAGATGGCATCAAAAAAGCTGGTGGATGGCTTGAAAATTACCTCAGAGCCTATCTAGGGACGCTGCAAGAACTGTATTCTAGCAAGACATGCTCGCCGTCCCTTCGATGAGCCCACCGATCCCAACGTCAACCCACTGGAGCTTGTTGCAACAGATTTGTGGGGACCGTCTCGAACAGCATCACTGAGTGAAAAGACTTATATGATGATATTTGTTGATAGTGGTACATTGTTCAAGGCAGGGGAATTCCTGGCAGACAAAGCAGATGACACTACCGTGGCTGCTTTTGACAGATACAGGCACATGGCTGAGACCCAGACTGGCCGAAAGCTTAAGCGTGTATGTGCTGATCATGCTTTTGCAGGGGTAAAGTGGAAACAATATTGCAAGGAGCATGGGATCATCCTGGAATTAACTGCACCTCACTCATCAGCTCAGAATAGATTAGCTGAACATGCCCTATGCACCACCATGAAGGATACAAGAGCTCTACTAAGTGACTCTAGCCTCGCCAACCGCTACTAGGCTGAGGCTGCCTCTATGTCAATCTTCACGTGAAACCTTATTCCTTTGAGTCGCTATCCTGGAGTGGTACCAGCAGAGGGTTTCTCAAAGCGACGACAGAATGTGGGATTTTTACGAGTGTTCAGATCCACTTGCTGGGCAAAGAAACCTATAGCTGGTGGGGTTTTGGTAGATGGCGGAAGCAAACTCGATGATCGATCAAAAAAATGCACCTTTCTGGGATACTCAGAGTCCAATTACTGTGTACTTGATCAATCGGGACATGTGTTCGTGTCTTGTGATGTCATCTTTGATGAAGGACCAGCACACCGAAGTGTGAGTGTAGGGGAGATAGAGGATGAATCTGCACTCATCACTTCTACTCATACTGAGATACCTATGCCAACTGAGCCAACCGAGCAAATACCAGATGCTCCCACAGAACCAACTCTTTGCTGATCAACACGCTTAATGTGTCCCAGTGCTGATGCTGCTGAATCTCTGATATCAAAGCAATGAGAGGCTGAGGCCCATGTGAGCAGAAATGACTAGGCAACTAACAGCAAACAGTCATGTGCTTCAATGGCTTCTGGTAATCCATCTGACCCATACATCCCACGAAATCATTAAGATGCACTATATGTTGATGAAGAGCAATGGAAGGCAGCCATGGATGTGGAATACCAAATGCATATGACGAAGCATACATGGGACCTAGTCAATAGACTAATAAGTGTGAATATGATGGATTGTAAATGGGTCTATGGTATGAAATGGGATGGCGATGGTAACTGGATCAGAGACAAGGCAAGGCTTGTTGAGAAGGGCTATACTCAACAGTATGAACTTGACTATAATGACACTTGGGCTGCAGTGACCCATCTCGAATCTGTACAGATATCAGCTGCTGTTGCAGCAAAGCTCGATCTTATCTTATGGCAAGTGGACTTCATTTCAGCATACTTGAATAGTGAGACAAAAGAAGACATTTATATGTATCAGCCTCCAGGGTATGTAGTTGAAAGACAAGAGGATAAGGTGTGCAAACTTGTCCATACTATTTATGGAACTATGCAGGATAGTTATGATTGGTTCAAGATGCTTGAGAAAACCTACAAAGACCTTGGATACCATGCATCGAAGGCAGACCTATGTGTATGCACCATTGGCAAGCCTGGAGATGAGTATACTATCACAGATACTTACACTGATGATGTGTGGGGAGCATCATCGACTACAGAGGAGGCAAGCCAACAGAAGAAGGAATTAGAGGAGAAATGGGAGCTCACTGATATGGGAGAGAACTGTTACTTTCTGGGGATGAAGATTGAACAAAACCTTGAGGCTGGCACCATCACCTTCTTGCAGTGTCCATATTGGGAGAATGTATTTTTGGACTTCAACCTTGGATACATATGATCACGGACCACCCCTCTACCTGTTGGAATCGTACTCAATATGTCACAGTCTCTGAATACCCAAGCAGAGAAGGATGCTATAGAAAGATTCCCATACCGATGACTGCTAGGCCACGTTATATGAGGACAGCTTGCAACTCATCCTGACTTGTGCTTCTCTGTGAGCCTGCTTGCTCACTTCCAGTCTAACCAAGGGATAGAGCACTGGAAAGCATTAATACATGTCCTTGGGTACATAAAGGAGACAATGGATCTTGATATCTCCTTCTCATGTGAGCAGCTGTTAACACCTGTTGGATTTGTAGATGCAGACTATGGGGGTTGTAGGGACATGACTCGTTCGATGTCTGGCTACATCTTCACCATGATGGGTGGTTTGATTTGCTGGAGCTCAAAATGTCAGGCTACCATCACTCTGTCCACTGTCGAGGCTGAATACATTTCTCTTACTCGTGTGGTGCAACAGATGATATGAATATTGTCTTGGATGGATGAGGTCCAACTACCCCAGCCTCACCCTGGTGTATTGTATGGTGACAACCAGGGTGCTGTAGCATTAACAACAAATACATGGTCCCATCAGAAAGTCAAGCATATCCGCATTTGAGAGCATTTCATTAGGGAGCTCATGAAGGACAGTGAATTATGTGTCGAGTTTGTTCGAGGGAACGCAAACCCTGCAGATATGTTCACCAAGCCCTTGCCTCGTGATATGCACAATGGTTACCTCGAGATGCTCAACGTTATCCCAGTAGATTGAACGGATATGGGGGAGTGTTGGAGGATATCCGTACGTTTCATCTTATCTTACTTTTTGATCACTCGCTCTATTTGCCTTATATATACTTACACCTCCTGTCGTTTCCCGATCACCTATATAGTCCAGCCATTCCTATCTGTATGCCTCAGTCACTTCACCCATGTTGTGCCCGACTGAGATACTCATATATATTCTTCTGTTAATAAAAATAAGATTTTCCTTGGTCTCTAGGTCCACATGCCATCATGTGATAAGGCAGTGTTCACTGAAGAAAATGAAGATGCGACCTTTGATATGATGCACGTCGACCTCATGTGGGGCTCTTCACAGCGGGTATCATGGTACACCAAGTACAGCCCTCATGTGTGATTCCTGGAAACAATATCTCGAGGAGGTAATGTTGGACAGCTAAGCACTGGAGAGCTTTCTGCTGGTATCAAGAATGAGTCTCACTTAGGTTCCCATTCGCTCATATTCCAGTGAAGAACATGGTCTGGCCAGGCCAACAGGTACTCCGAATCAGGTATGTCGAACCTAGACTTAGCTTTCATGATCGCCACCCACACACCCACGCATAGAAATACCCCATTACCTGGGAACTCTTCATTGATGCACTGACGCACTTGAATTGAATAACTCCTCTCTCACTTCTTCGGATATCACGGTCTCTGGTCTTGTTGATACCGTAAGTGTATTGGAACGTTAACCTTTCAGCATATTCACTGATATATGTTCTGATTCATGATAATGAAAAACACAAGTTGTATTATTCGTATCTTATATGCAGCTGATTCAATGTCCAAAACGCAATAGCAGCGTCTAGATAGTAGCAAACATACAAACTTAACTTGAGTATCTTCTGGAGACTGTCAACAACCCGCGCCCTTTAACTTGTTCAAAGAACGCAGCAGATTCGAACGTCAATCCCTCTGGCTTCCACTCGGCTTTCTCTTCTCCTTCTCTGTCCCACTCTTCTGGGGTTGCGCTGAACACGAGCTCAACCTTGCTCAATTCCATCTTCGATAGAACTGCATCGAGCTCCGCCCACTTGTTCTGGCTCCCAGATATGCCAATCAGGTCATACTCCAATTGGACCTCCTTTAAGCATCCCCCTTGGGCTTTGTGTAGCAGGCGTATGAGCCAATCTGTTAGCTCGTCATAGTTTTTGCATCCATCCGCCACATTCCAGTGCCAGGGTGTGATCACGAGCAAACGAAGCCTGGTAACGTTTTGGATATCCGGAACGGGTATCTTTGGCTTGGAGACTCCCACCAGAAATAACTCATCCAGGTGCGTATAAGGAATCACGTTGTATTGTGGGATGTCCTGCTCCGGATGGTAAATTGGGTAGGTAAGCCGTTGAATATGAGGTGGCATGGAGAGGAGCGGGAGGAGGCACATGATGGTATTCATGTCCGATTGGATGTTGGCTGGGGTAATCACTAATTCTTTAAGCTCAAGAGAAACTTCAGATGATGAGGATGTCTCTTCATAAATGTATACATCGCATAGCGCTAGCTTGTTTAATTTGTGGAACCCGCCGAGGAAGGTGCCAAGGTTCGTCACATAACAATGCTTCATTTCCAATTCCTCAACTTCAGGCCAGATGATATTAATGCCAACTAGGTCCACCTTGACAAGATGCAAGGACGTCAAGTTCTTCATCATTGCAAAGATGATAAGCAACTGCGGTTCAGAGGCCTGGAGGGCATTTTCGCTCAAGGTAAGACTCCTTACAAGTGGCGCCGCATTTTGGCACTTCTCCAAGAAATTTTCGCAACGATTGAACGATTGATGTGGGATGAAATCGAAGTGTATGGCGCGGAATAGGTGATAGCGACTGCGGTGGACAAGTTGGCGAGAGGATAATGAGCAAGATGTGAGGGAGGAAACATCATCGGAAATAGCGTCAACTATTCTATCCATGAGTTCCAGCGGTAATCTAGGTCTCAAAACTGCACATTGCAGGGTAGGTTGTAAGATGGTCATGGTGGTCATGGACAAAGTTCTGGGCAGGCGCTTTGAGGTCCCTCTCTTTATAAATACCGGAGTGAGACATCTGAGAGTTTGACATTTGATTGATCAAATTTCACAAGATTCATGTCCACTCTGGTATACATCGCTAATATTAGTAGCACACTTCACATCTATCGAACCTTACGAATGAAAACTTGCTGCTTCGACTCGGCCGCGTTTGCAGCGCAATCGACTCTGCTTTGGACTGCCGGCGTATCATCAATTTCAAGACTGTCGCCACCGGAACAACAGGAGCATGGCTGATCGGCGGCTTCTATACTCGGGGTCGGAGCCGCTGCACGAGAGTCACTGTTGCGGCAAGAGTCCTCGCTCCTGCGGACACCACAGTCAGGGAGACCGCAGCAACTGTCGACATCACTGCTAGCCATAGCAATGTCAGGAATTCTTTCAGGTTAAAAAGACACCAAACGTAAAACGAGAGAGGCGAAGAATTGGTAGTGCAGATAAGGCTTGGCGCAACACATAGCACGTACTCACGGCTCAGGAGTTCCCAGACATCTTACTACCTAAAGACAAACTTCCGACTCGATGGGACTAACAAGCAGTAGCTTAGACTCGGTTAAGACTAGACATTTTTTCATTAATAACAAAGGCAGCTCTCGGGCCGTATTCTGGTCATGGCAATATTGCCCACAAAAAATCAAGGATCATATGTATTCCTGTACCAGGAGCGACCTTCAAGCAGCAAGAAAAAGCGAAGGATGAAGTTAAGATGCCACGAACTTGTGATCAACGCGAATGCTCGACAAAAGACCTTCAAAAATTGTTTTACATTTCCAAACCAGCAAAAACTGAACCTGAGAAAACATACATACCAAGCCTACTGTACATATAAAAACTACAATCAGGATAGCGACATTTTGGTTTCCATGTGTAGAAACGTGAAGTGAATCCTCTACTGTTATCGAAATTCTTCTTTGCTTTCTGCTTCTTCACTTGAAAAAGCGACAAGACTGAGCAATCGCCAGCACTGGCACGAGAGAGGCGAATTCACCCAATCCAGCCCATTGAGGCTGTACGCGGATATCAACAAGGAGCCCAGATCCAAAGAGCACGGCCAAGACGTTGTACGACAGCGCCCAAGTGAGGCTCAACACGATGCGACGCCAGGTCAGACGCGACACCGTGATTGTCTGCAACAAGCCCCTCAAACTGCCGGATAGTATAACGATATCAGCCGAGTTGATGGCTATAGCTGTTCCCGACACCAGGGACACGCCAATATCTGCTTGGGCGAGAGCTGCGGTGTCATTACTCCCATCGCCAACAAAAACCACAATATTCTTTTGCTGTGGCATTCCATGAGCATGCGCTTCGGCGTGATTCTCACTATGCTCATGTCCAGACTCGACATCGTCCTGCGAGCAGGACGCGCTCCACGAAGTCATACGAACTATGTCCCGTTTGTCCTCCGGTAGGCAGTTCCCCTTCGCTTTGACTCCCTCGACTCCAAGCCTGCGACACACTCCGTCAACGGCCTTCTGGTGGTCTCCACTCAGAATGGACACTGTGATTCCCCGTGCTACCAGAGACGACACAACCTCGGTACTCTCGGAACGAAGGTCATCCTCCAGTCCGAAGGCAGCGAGGAAGATGTGGTTAACTGTTACAGCAAAGACGCTCTTTCCTGCATCCAGCATGTTAACTACGCAATCAACATCTTGTACCGCGCACCAGCTGACGCTTCCTCCCCGAACGATAGAGCCATTCCAGTTGGCTTGGATACCTTTGCCCACCACAGTTTCTATATTGTCTAGGTCGCTGACTGAATCAGCACCCAAAGCCAGATATCGGGCCACAGCGGCCGACACAGGATGTTCTGAACCCGCAACGAGAGCCTTGATCAGCCTATTGGCGTCATCTGCAATCCATATTCCACTGGCTTCGTCAAAATTTGACTCCACCACTCTCATCTTTCCGGTCGTCAACGTTCCTGTCTTATCGAAAATGACATGGGTAACGGCGCGCGCGTTCTGGAGAGCAGCAGAGGATTTAAAGAGCAAAGAAAACTGTGACTTCTGGGATGCATTCCGTGCGTAGAGAACAACGAGGGGGACGCATAGAGTGAGAGCGCATGGGCATGACAAAGCTAATACCGCGACGGCGTAAGAGAGACCGTCTGCGACTGCCTTGCCTAGGGACTCATGCCTTGCATACTTGAGCACTAGCGTCCACACGCTAAACGAGATTGCCGAAACAGCCAATACAATAGGAATAACACGACGCGCAATCCTATCCGCTGTATCTTGGATAGGAGCTCGGGAGGAGCGCGCTTCTGCAGTTAAACGGCGTAATTCAGCCAGTGAGTTGTCTTGTACGGTTTTCGATAAACGGATATATAATGACTGTGGACCAAGGACTGTTGTTCCTGCAAGAACCGGAGCTCCTGGGCCTTTGGTTATAGGAACGGTCTCGCCAGTAATCAAAGACTCGTCGATATCTGACGTGTTGGTGACGACAATACCGTCACTTGGTATGGTTTCAGCTGCATGAACAACGACCGTGTCGCCTACTTCTAGCAATGCCGTGTGAATATCTTGAGCACTATTAACGAGTTTGGGATCAATCCAATGTGCGACTTCAATAGGAGGAGGAGTGAGGCCAACAGAGCTCCGTCTGGCTGCATTCCGTGCATAGACAGAGACGAGGCGGCCGAGTAGGATCAGTGTGATGAGCAAGGTACTCGTTTCAAAGAAGCTATCGAGATCGACACGATGTTTGGCGACATTATATCCGTAGCTGACCATGGAATAGAGGTACGCAGAGAGGGAAGATAGAGAAATTAAGACATCGGCATCTAAACGTCGGTCAACGATGGTTGCGCGTCCTGCAGCGAGAGTGATATGACCAGCACAAAATATCTGGACGAGGGACGCGAGGCCGAGAGCGATCCCACCACGAAGAGCGAATTGACTCTCGAAACCACTGGACCACGATATGACTAGGACCGGAATGGTAAGAATTGCAGATAAAAGGAAGCGCCAGATCGAGCGACGAAGGTCAAGCGCCGCTGCTTCATCTATGGCCGTCTCACCGTCATCTTCGTTAACTGGTGTCACCATCCATCCTTGCCCAAGCAGGGCTCCATGGATATCACGCGCTGACGGGTAACGTGCCGCAGAATTGATTGTGAAGCGAACATCCGCGCGAGAAATTTTCAAAATCTCTTGTTCGCGACCAAAAAGTGCTTGAAGAATGTCCTCGGCTGGGGCACCGGCGGGGGAGAAAGATACGCGGAGAGTACGTTGGCCATTTCGCAAGCTTGCAATGGTGCAAATAAATCCGGTTGCGTTTTCCACCTTGCGGCGGATAGTCTCGGGATCGATAGAGCCACTGATGTAGTTACAACTCGCTCGAGCACTGACAAAGTCCACCTATGTTCACTGTTAGTCAAGGCACTACTTGTGTCGAAATTATTTTGTACCTTTACGTCCGTCACCCCGAGGCTTTTCAGTGCTCGTTCAACTCTTGGAGAACACGCTGGACAGTCCATGCCAACAACCATGAGAGTGAGAACTTTTTCCTTCCCATCTTGGTCGTCGGGTGACGTGTCATCGACGGAAGCATAATTAAGACGCTCTCCGTCGATTCCAGTACAACATGGCACTCTTTTAGCTTTCCACAAAAGTTTTAAGCGTCTTCCTCTTCTTATCGGACTCGTGCAACATGTAGCTCCGCAGCACCTGCGTCTGCGAACTTCTGTACAGCAGTCAGCACACCTTACAAATTATGAGATCCAAATTGGAAACTTGCTAGCATGAGTCGATAGCCCGAGTCCTTGCAATGCAATTGAGCCTTCTCTGCCAACAATTACCGGCTTATCATCGTTATCGTCACCAGAACAACAGGAGCAGGGCTGATCGTCCTCTTGAGCTGGCGCTTCAGTTTGCGCGCTCGAAACAGGCTTTTCAGCACAACAATTATCCGAACAGGACTCGGGATCTGCGCCACTTGGGGTTACCACATCACCGTTGCGGGTACCACCACAGTCAGGAGCTGCAGGGGTACCGCCACAGTCGTGGGAACTGCAACAGGTGCTGACGTCTTTGCTAGCCATGAGATCGAAAACTAACAAGTTCGAATGGAATAGAGTGAAGAATTCGAGCAACGAGAAGGGCTGAAGAGGCGGCGGTAGGGAAAAGTGAGGTCACTTGGTTATCTGGCACGTGGAATTTTAGGCGGAGCTGTATTAGAACTTGAGTTGGCATGTTTCGGCGACCAAATGCTCCAACGAGGATTGGGATGATCTCAGACACAAGGTAGAGTTAGACATAAAGCTGGTAATCATCGATGAAATTAGAAGGACCACTGGGAA